ACAAATAACTTCATTTCTGGACATTTATGGTTTGATTTCTTTGTATGTGTGGATCACTTGGGTTGTTACCAACATCTGGTGCAAATTTCATGTCATTAGCACCTCTAGTAATATATTTACTGAGAAAAATGGTGACGTGTTCAATACTTATTTTACCCGCTGTAAGTATACTAGCAGTTTACTAAGAGGTAGACTTCTAGGGCTAAATTGGCCCACAATAAGTTTATGAAAGTATACTCAGAATACTGAAAGTAATTGTCTAAGTATACTTTTAGTTTAATCTTGAAATATACTACAAATAAACCAGTCTCTGTGAAAATGTACTTTCAGAGTACTACTACAGTTTGTTTTGGTCAAAAATTTAAACATTAGTATAAACTTAGTATACTTTTAGTACAAGCCAAGTATAGTGTAAGATAAACTTGTTTAAGTATATCTCAGATAAGTACATAATGTCAATGTCAACTTTATTTATAGAGCACTTTAAAAACAGCAACCAACTGCACCAAAGTGCTGTACAGTAATATAAAACAACTGATAAAAACATACTGAAGTAAAATTAATAAATTAAACAGACAAGACACATAGAATACAAAGTAAACCCTTATAAAAATGCCAGAGAGTAAAAATGAGTTTTCAGAAGAGATTTGAAGTGTTCCAGACTATGGGCAGATCTAATATTGAATGGTAAGTTGTTCCACAAATTAGGAGCAGTGACAGCAAATGTCCGGTCTCCTCTGCTTTTCAGTCTGGTTCTGGGAAAGTGTAGAAGCAGCTTATAGTTCGACCGAAGTGATCTAGAAGAGGATGTGGAAGATCCTTAAGATACATTAAAAAAACAAAAATTAAACTGGAGGTATACTCTTATTTATTTATTTTTTGTTTAAAATTAGTATACTTAAAGGATATCTTCACGCTTCTGTCATTTACTAGTCAAAGACCCATTCAAACGTTGTAGACCAAACCAACCTGACAGAACATTTTTACAAAATTCTTACAAAAGAAATGGAGAGATGATGAGTTTTGATTTTGATGACTGATAAGTGATCAAAAATAAGTTTAGTAAATCCTCTGGATGGTTCATCTCTCCTCCAAGAGACTTCTTCAGTCTGAGGAGTTTCAGGTGAACTCAGCCTTAAAAGCAAATGTTGGAGAAACAAGTTTAAAGATGACAATCAGCACCGTTTGTTCACATGGTAAAGAGGACCATCAGCCTAACAATAGATCCTTAGTGCCCTGATTATCCCAGTTGTTCACATGGTGCTGAGTCATCCTCACAATACCAGCATTGTAAGAGGGAGGTAAAAAAATCTAGTGACTCTTTTTCTTGTGTTATTGCGACTTTTGCTGGAGAGAGGAGCAGGCTGCAGGAGATGAGAGCATGCAGTTTGAGGTGGAGGGAGCAGTCTGAGCAGCAGGGATGGAGTCAAGGTCGGTTGTTCTGAGACCAAGACTGGTCTACTGCTACTACATTCACATTTAGAAAGTTTAAATCTGCACACAGTTCAAAAAAGTAAAAAAAAAAAAAAAAAGCCCTAATACACAATAATGAAATTTAGTTCTGCAATGGCGGTTTAGGGGACTAGTGCCCACAGGTACCTACCTGACCCTAAACCTAACCTAAACTCAATTCACACCTTGGTCCTAAACCTAAACCTAACCCCCCCACCCCACCCACCCAAAAGCAGCCTCTGAACTCGTGGGGACCGGGCTTTGGTCCCCACAAGGCTGCATTTTCCTGAAAAAATGTCCCCACCAAGTAGCTAAAAACAAGAGCACACACACACACACACACACATGCACGCATGCACACATACACATACACACACATTATGACCTTTCACATGTTGGTGTTAAAAACAAATCACTGTGAATTAACAGCAAACCAAAAGGTTTGATAGCAGGATCCATATGGAGACTTTACCTCATAGTCCAGGTCCAGATGGTCAAATTCCCCGTTGGTCCTAAACTGCTGAGTGTGGTGGTCCAGCGTGAAATTGACGTTTCTACGGTAACGTTCAACAACAACAGTGTGCCAGTGACCATCATCCAATAGGCTGCCACTGCTCACAGAGGTGTGACCCTGAATGGATCCATATATGGGACTACTTCCTGGAAAGGAGCAAGCACAACACGAACCCAGCAGCTCATCAATGTTTTGATAGTATTACAAAATACAACTCAGTACATACCTGCTATCTGACACCTAATTGGTACATAACAGGTTTATACAGAGTATGTAGGTATCTGTGGGGGCTAAAGTGTCTTGTTACACTATACCTACAAGGAACGTACAAAGGGTGCAACGATACAGAAAATTCACTGTTTTGGAAAAATAAATTATCAGTTAGAGTCCAACATTTCTTCTCAGGCCAAGAGTCAGTGATCACTTTTGCTTACTTTAAAATGTCATCATGTTTTATGATTTACTCTTTATCTTCTGTTTTCTCTCGGACAAAGTGTTTTAAGATCAAGACAATATCTGTTTAGGAGTAATCATTCTTGTTGCTGTTTATCAAACATCATTCTATCCTTGGACCAGTTTTTGTCTGTTTGGATAACAAACTGTATAAATGCATGTATTTGAAACTGCCTCGGTGCACACATTTTGTACCACTGCCCTGTGTGACATGATGTGTGTCTTGCATATTGCAATAAATCCTGATTGACTTTTCACAAAGTACTTTTATTCTCGGAGCTCGTGTTTCTATCCAGGTAAAATAAAGTTTTCAACGACATCACGATTCATTTTTTCCAATAATCACGGTTCAATATTTTTTTAATGCAGAAAAGATAAATGTCCATGCACTTCCTAACTTGTAATTTATTGAAATTAATTATGAACATTTGTTTAACCTCAAAATTGCTGTTTTTAAAATAAAAGTTGCTGAAACAGCAAGTTTCTCAGTGGATCTGTGCTCAAAAAATGCAGCCTAGGTGGAGTAGTCGAACACAGATCTACTGATCCTTCAACACAGAGCATCTTCAGAGGACAAGTTGATAAAATAAATTTTTAAAATCTGTATTGTTCGATACAAGTGTATACTGAACAGTTCGATACAGATACATGTATTGATGCACCCCTAGTAAATACCTGGTATTTATGTGCTACAATTCAAGTATGTATCAAGTACCTAATTGGCATGTTACATATCTGGTATTTGCCTGATACTTAATCAGTATGTACCTGGTACTTACATTGTACCTATTAACGACATGGTAAGTACCAAACTGCATTATGTTTTGTTGCCAACGATACACACAAGTCATTTTAACTGCTTCAGCTGTTTCTGGAGCTCATGAGGTCAAATGAAAAAGTACCTAAGTTGATGCTGAGCTGAAGTGTTGCCCTGCGAAGCTCCAGAGAAATATAGTCTCCCTGCTGACCTTCTCCATGGAGCAGAACACCATCTCTGGCTGTGGTCCGAAAGTTCAGAGAGAGGGCATCTCTGATAGTTTTCATCTTTTTACCCCTGAAACGGTTGGAGATGATGCCAGAGCCATCAAAACTGATCACATCAGCCCCTGGGGGGGAAAAATATTAAAAAAGGTTTTATGCTGCAGTGCCAACCAAAAAACTACAGTATTCTTTGAACAGTTACCCCCAATATTTTCATTAGCTGTGGGCGAAATGTGTTAATAAATCTGATACATACATAAGCTGTAAATGAGCTGCAGAGGTTTGGAGTTTAAACATAAATTATTAGTAGTGTCCAATACCAACACTGCTGTGAGTTAGTGGGCCAGATACCAGCATTTTTACGAGTACTCATAACAGAGCTCGTACTGGTTTCGATACTCCAGTGAATGTGTCACAGTTTACATTTCAAGTGAAAAGTTAGTTAGTTAGTTAGTTAGTTAGTTAGTTAGTTAGTTAGTTAGTTAGTTAGTTAGTTAGTTAGTTAGT